AGAAAGAGGATAGAAACAGTGGAAGCTAGAGTTGGTTGGCTAAAAAATATAGTCGTGATTCAAGGATCACATTTAAGATCAAACGCGTCCATTATTAGCCAAATAGCTTAGTCTCCACTTCGTCATTCCTGTTTCTATCTCATAATTTCATCCGCCCATAATTACTACTGTACCACCTTTATCTGCTTTCAGAGCAATCATTTCATTTTGAGGCACACACATATAGCAATCATATTCAGGTCGTGGGATTTTAAAAAAATGATTTCCTGATCAAAATGAGGGTTTATTCATCATTCTATACTATTCTTAACCTCTTCCTACAGCCTATCTATCATATTATTTAATTCAACCAGCATTTCCATAAAATGATTCTACTATTCTTTCCAAAAGGATCTTAATACTATCAACTGTGAGTCTTAAGGATACACCAATGGCCTTACTTTTACTAGATCATATATCAGTAAGTTTATCTATCTTCTTACTATAGCCACAATTCCTTGAATGTACGTCACTGCCTAACTTTCTCTGTTTTATATTACACTGGCACCAACAATAATTATAAGCGACTTTCTACCTTCTTGTCGAGGTGCTTGTTAAACCTTTCTAACGAGCTTTTGCGCTCTGAACTAGCCAGACATGGCACGAACCGATCAGGTACGACATGCCCCTAACGTATACAATCGCGTTGACACTTTGTTGCTATCTCTTTCTCAACTTTTTTTCTGGCCTTTTTCAATTTTCCCCTCCTGGAAACATTACCTCACCTCTTCATACCAATTGATCAATCGCCGATACACCCATGCCTTAATAACAACACACTAACCACGCCCACAACGTCCACGCCAACACACACAAACAGAAGTCCATGATCACATGTGCCACCAGTTTCACTTGCACGCCCTTCTTACCCCAACTCTCACCAATCGTAGGGACCATCTCCACACCCACCCGTCATTCCCAAGCCGGTCAACCCACCTGCACGCACACACAACCATGCCTAAACCCCCATGTCCATTTGTGGACACTCGCATCACCAGAATACGTATGTCTTGTTCCAGCGTCGTCGTCTTTCCTTCTGGTATCACCTAGCCTCGCCCACATTCACACAGCCTACCTCCAAAGGTACACCCATACTACTCCACACACACACACACATTCCCACTTAACACCAGCACGCACATTCATATCGACATCCGCAGTCACGTTCACTCAGAAGTTGTATCCAATATGATCCGCCTGCCCGACGGTATGCACACATTCACATACCACCGCACATACATCTGTCTTCTCGCCCAGCCCAGGCTAGATGCGTTTTGGTACAAACGCCCGACATCATAAAATGTACGCAAATACCAAACATGCCCGCTTTCACGTCCAACCATATCCGATGCATACGCTTGTTTATGGCACAAAATGCACCTTCTGGCTTGAAGCCAGCGGTTCCGAGACGACCAGCGAGACGAAGCCCAATCCCTCCGGCCTCCTAGTCCGTCTGCCCGGCGTCGGGGCCGACACTTGTCTGCCGCTCCGTCAGCCCACTCCGACAATCGCCTCGGCGCCGGCTCTTCCCTCCAGACCGTTGACCGGCTCGCAGACCGGCGGTCAGCTCCACCCGAAGGCTCCACCGTCGCAGCCTCCGGCGCCGGCCGAGACGTGCCGAAGCGCCGCAGGCGCTGGCCTCCGTCTCTTGCAGACCCGAGCCGGCCTCGCCGATCTGCGGCACGAGGTGAATGTGCTCAAGCGGACTCAAACGGTCAACGCGGCCTCGGTCAAGGCGGAGTCGAACGAGGCGATGGTCAGGATTCAGGTGCGTCACTGACAACCATTCTTTAGGCAGAGTTGACGACGTGGCGGCAATTAGGAAATATTCTTATAAGAGTAGGGTTTCGAGACTACCAGTAAATCAGTGTAATGAGATGTATTCACCCTATTTCGTCTAAGATGATTAAGGGAATGGTAGTAGAATTTTCCCACAATGATATGAGTTAAGCTGACTTTTTCCATTGAATTTCACATAGCCTTGCAAGTAGAATTTTCCCACAATGATATGAGTTGAGCTGACGTTTCCATTGAATTTCATATAGTATTGCTTTCCCAACGAATTTTCCCACAATCATATGAGTTGAGCTGACGTTTCCATTGAATTTCACAAAAAGAATATGATATAGCAGATATGAGTTTAGCTGACTTTTCCATTGAATTTCACATAGCCTTGCTTTCCCAAAGATTTTCCCACAATGATATGAGTTGAGCTGACGTTTCCATTGAATTTCACATAGCCTTGCTTTCCCAAAAACATAATGATATGAGTTTAGCTGACTTTTCCATTGAATCTCACATAGCCTTTCTTTCCCAAAAGTTGTTCTAATGATATTAATTTAAAGTTAATTCTAAGGCTTTCATTAGTCTTTTTGGAATGTTAGAGTACATATACACTGAATTGAAACTTTCCAACAAATCTCTTTCTATTGTCTGATCATCAATTAATTATATAAATGAGCTGCGTTCACCCTATTTCATTTAAGAGGGTAAAGTATTGATAGCTGCATTTCCCCACAATGGTATGAGTAGACATGACGTTTCCATTGAATTTCACATAACATTGCTTTTTCGAAAGGCGTTATCATCCAGGGTGGACTGCAGTTTCGACACACTCTTGAGTCACAGGGCATAAGTGAATTTCAAGGAAGGTCAGGACTCTGTTATATCATATACTTTTGGTGGGATTTACTGGTAGTCTCGAAACCCTACTCTAATACGAATATAAGTAACGTTGTCGATTGCTATAGCAAAC